ATGGTAAAATACATGGTCTAATAGTTGCCAAACATTTTTTATCAAGAACATCCTATTCTCAATCTTCCATTCCAACAGGCATGGCCTCCTTATCTCGAAGTGGCCTATTTAATTCTTTTCCAACAAGATAATATTCTATTATCATTTTTCATATCGAAAAATTACTTTGATTTAATTTTTTAAATTCCATTGCTCTTTCTCTTTTCAAGAAAAATACAACGAATAACCGCAATAGGAAAAAACTCCCTTCTTAATAGACACAATGAAGAACAAACCCTAGGCTCTGATACCAGTTGTTGGGATCAATTGGCGAAAAATCAACAATGGTTAATAACATTCATAGATATTGTGCATTCATATCAATATAAACAAGTAATGTAAATTACACAATATCAAAGCAAGAACATGAAATGAAAAATCCTGCAACATTCAATCCGCAGAGTATAAAGATTTAACGCGGTTTGATCACAAATCGTGATCTACATCCATGAGAGGATGTTGCGAGATTTTATTTATTGATTTGGGAAGATTACAAAGTGAAATCGAGCTCAAAATATCAATTTCGAGCAGCCCTTTCTCACTCTAAACAGAACCAAAAAGCAAGGCACCAAGAATACTAAAAATGGGTTCTCTTTAATACTTTCTCTCAGTAAAACAGGGTACATAGCAAATCCACAATGGAGTTTAAGCCTTTCGCTCACTTTCTCTTTCTAAAACAAAGCATACTAAGCCCTCAAGAGAGAACCCAATTGTAGCCCAATCTCTCTATCTTTTTTATCACTCCTTTTTTTTTTCTCTAAACAAAAGGGTTTTAATCATTTTAAAAGCGTAAAGTTCTTATAACACTACAACCATTGGATTGGATTAGATGCAATCCAATGGCCCAAAATAAAAGAGAGAAAAGTTAAATAAAACTTCCACATATGTGATTTGTTTCACATATGTAACAAAGGAGGTGTAATCCAATTTCGAAGAGTTCTATACTTGACTACTCCCATATTCGCCATGTTAATAATGTTCACCAATAAGTCCTCCATAGCAATTCCGGAGGAGTGTCTATTAGCAGTCCCCGAATTGAATAATGTATCCAAGCTATTGTTTTTGACCAAGTTCACATACATCACCAGCCCATCTAAAACATTCATGTTCCTTTCTTTCCATATATCCTAAAGAATAGTTGCTCTTTTCTGAAAGATTTTCCCAATTTTAGACAAGTATGAAATATTGAGATGATCCAAAACATATTGTTGTCTCCCAGGCAGAGTAGTACAAATATCTAGTCTGTTAAAACCCCTAGACCATAACTGTTGTGGAAATGACCAAGTAAGGAACATATAATCCCCATTTTGTTCATCATTCTTCCACAACATTGCAAATATTGATCATCAATCTTCCTCTTTTTCTTCATACATTCCATGCCACAGGTGTTAGGATTTAAAAACCCTCTTAGATGCGGAAACATGAATCCCAAAAGTTGTATCCCATCAAGATCGTGTACTTATCTAGTTATAAACAAAATATGAGATAGCACGAGCTATAATACGATAAATAAAGCTTGAAACACACACGCCACAAGAACACAGAGATTTATGTGGTTCACTCCAAGATGGCTGCATCCACGGGCGCGATAAACTGAAATCCACTATACTAAAAAAAAGTTACATTATAGATTTTGGGACATGTAATGACCTTTATAGCCCTTGACAAAACCTAGTCGAGTGAGCCCTTTTAAACGATGTTTCCCGATCGGCACAATCGTCGACCTCTCATCTCTATTCTACAGCTAAACCACTGTTCAGGAGGAGAACCTTGAGAGCAACCGAGATTTTCTCTCACTAAAAAGGGAAACCACCCAAAATCTTCATGAGAACCGCTTCTCTACAAGAAACCAGCCTCTCAATCCACAAGAGGCACATTGGGGCCTTTCTCTTTGTAGGAAGCTCTCTTCTCTCTAAGGGGAGGCTTTGCCTCTCAAGCAAAAGAGACACATTTCTCTCTAGAGGAAATTATATTTCCTATATGGTAACCCAAGTAGGGCACAAGAATTCTCTGCTCTTTCATCCCATATACATAAGGTTAGGAATCCATATCAAATAGGAAACTTCTTATAGATGTTACATATATCTCAAAACTAAGAGATATATCACAAGAGTCCTAATATTTTTGGACTTCTATTTCCTTTAGGAAACGTATCAATATCATTAATAATCCCACATATTATGGGATTTACTTATGTAGATGAGTTTGGATATCACCATATCCAACAATCTCCACCTTGATATCAAAATCAGCTGCTCACTATGCCAACATCCATTAGATAGCTTTAAATTTCATCTTTTGCCAAATAAATTCCTTCATTATTCTTGCTGAAAAATTGTGTTTGCCATCATATTTCTCTACCTCAAATAAAACGTTAGCATACTTTGTCATGTGCTTTTCTAAAACCGAATACATAAACACTAGCTCGTACTGAATCTTGCGCTCTAATACCACTTGTTTCGATTTTTGAAACCTTGTAGATGTGGAAATAAGAATTTCATAAGTTGGATCCTATCAAGATCGTGTACTTATCGAACTAGAAAAAATATAAGAGAGCATGAGCCATAATACGAGAAAGAAAGCATGAATCACCCATGCCACAAGAATATAAAGATTTACGTAGATCACCCCAAGAGGGCTACATCTATAGACACGACAAACTGAATCCATTATAACAATGAAAGTTACCTTACAGACTTTGGGGTATAGAGATACCTCTATAACCCTCGACAAAACCCAGTCGAGTATGCTCTTTTAGGCCCAGTCTCTTGATCCACATCATCGTTGACCTCTCATCTCTATTCCACAGCTAATCCAAGAAGAGACCAGCAAAACCACTTTCTAAGAGGAGAACCTTGAGAGCAACTGAGACTTTCTCTCAATCTACAGGAGACACATTGAGGCGTTTCTCTCCATAAGAAGCTCTCTTTTCTCTAATGATAGGCCTTGCCTCTCATACACATGAGGCCCCTGCCCCCCTCTCTTTAGAGGACGTCATCTTTCTCATATGGTGACCCAAATAAGGCACACAAATTCTCTGCTCTTTCATCCCATATATATAAGGTTAGAAATTTACAACAAATAGGAAACTTCCTATAGATGTTACATATATCTCAAAACAAAGAGATATATCACAAGAGTCCAAATCTTTTTATACTTCTATTTCTTTTAGGAAACTTATCAATGTCAATACCAATCCCACATAATATGGGATTTCTTTATGTGGGTGATTTTAGCCATCACCATATCTAACACTAAAAACATCCAATATTCAACACCCAAAAAAAAGGCTTGAATCTTTTGTAGTATTGGCCACTTCCAAACTTTTCCTAATCTTATATCACTCCATGAATCTATCATCAAACAGTAAAAGATACAATAGCGTCACCCGAAACCTCCCATCTGTTTAACACTCCCAAATAATATCATCCCAAATCATGGGAAATATAAAACTTGTGAAACATTTTCAATTTCCAATTGTGTGCCTATCTTTTAATAGCTTAAACCAAAATGATAAATATTCCTGCCTTGGGCCTCTCTTGCTGTTATAGGGAGCATATATATGTATGTGGGGTGACATATATATGTGTGTGTGTGATTCTAGGCTATACAATCCTAGTAATGAATTTATAGGGATATAGATGTATATGCGTTATCTAGACAGTAACTTGTTTGAAAAGTTAAAACACACATCCAAACATATGGGAGTGATTTCACGTCAGATTCTCATTGTAATACATTGGAACCACACTTAGAGAATATCATATTTATGGCATTTGTAATGAGCACAGATTTTGCAATTGCACTATCTTCATTCCAACAATCAATAGGAGCAAATGAAATCCAATTTGTGACGTAGATATATTCAAAATGAGTCTCTCTCCAATATTTAATCTAGACTGTCCATTTGGGAAAATCATTTTCTCTTCTAACATTGTTCTTCTAATGATGATTGAAACCACCTAAAAGATTTGGGCAAGGAAAAAAATCTTTCTAAGGTTTAGATCTAAGTATCACACAATAAAGATCACTTATGTTTTCGAGTTAAAAAGTACGGTTTTTAGGTGCATTATTTTTTTAATATTTATTCTTCAAAATTTAAAGAGTTTAGGTTTAAAATTTAGGGTCAAACAATCACCAGTAGCATGGTTTTGGAAATTATTTTGTTATAGAAATATAAAATTGTTGCATGAAATCACTCATAGTATATGTGATTATATAATAAGATTGTGGCTTGCATGACACTAAGGCCCTTAACAATCAAAGTAAGGGACACCTTGAAATAGTATTGAAGGATGTTATTTCAGTACCATATAAATGTTTGTGATGGCATGGCAATTTATTTTTATATCTAGTTATAAAATTTAAAGCTTAAAAAATAGTGTAGATTTAGTACAACTATAAACACTTCATAGCTTGAAAATTGACAGTCCAGAAAAAGCACTGTAATATGCATTATTTTCAAGATTTGAAATTCAATTTTTTTTATATTCATACATCTAGAAGTTGAGATAATCAATTTGAAGATTTTTTTAGCATTCGAAACAACCTCTTTTTAGTGAACATTAGAGCTATGCCTTAATTTGATTGTTTCGGGCTCACCCTTATATAATATTTTTCCTAAAAATAACAACAAACATGGTTATCTCTCTCTACACATATAGGGAAGTGATTCCATGTAGTGATTTTTATAGAGTAATAGAATAAAACAATCTTCAAAATCCATGCTAAGGCCACGGTGACTTAAGATCATTCCCACATGCATAGTTTTTGTTGCTCGGCCGTTGGATCTGACATCCTAGCAATCGTATTGCAGAGAAGATTCTCGATGGTAGCAATGGGGACGTTGCAATTGACCAATACCATCGTTACAAGGTTGCTTCATTTTCCTTTCGCTGTTACAGTGTGACTTTTTTGCAAGACTTGTTTAAATATTAATTTGAATTTTCATAATGTTGCAGGATGATATTAAACTAATGAAATATCTTGGGGTCGATGCCTATAGAATGTCAATAGCATGGTCTAGAATCTTACCCAGTAAGCCTTCAGAGATCCAAATTATTTTAATTTTTCAGAACTCCTTATTTTTTTAATTAATTAATGAATTTATTTTGCTAGTTTGTGGAAGATGAATAGACAGGGTCTAGTTATTGATGTTTAATATTTGAATGGAAAATAGTTATTCATTTTTCTAAATGTGACAAATCAGAGGGTTCCTTGAAAGGAGGAGTGAACAGGGAAGGGATCAAGCATTACAACAATGTCATCAATGAACTCCATGCCAATGGTTCTCTCTCTCTCTC